AGCAAAGGGTCTGAATACTTATGACCATGTGATATTTCAGTTTTTCTTTTTTAATAAATTTGCAAAAATTTCTACATTTCTGATTTTTCTGTCAAGATGGGGTGCTGAGTGTACATTAATGAGAAATAAAATGAACTTTTTTGATTTTAGCAAATGGCTGCAATGAAACAAAGTGAAAAATTGAAAGGGGTCTGAATACTTTCCGTACCCACGTATGTATGAACCAGTGCAGCGACTTTTTCACGAGACTTGTCCTGGCGCCTGGCCAAGAAAATGAAGACCCCCAAATTGATGTTTTTCCTCTTTGGTAGTTTAACAGGACAGATGTGTAAGTGGCATCAACCTTCTCTTCTAACTATTGAGCCTCTTTCACACGTAGTTCCTGGAACATCACCTGGATGACCTTTCAGGCACCGCCACTGATTTGCATTATTCCCACGTGCCCCACATGCAGGAGCACTTACAGCTTGTGCCTTTTCACACAGGCCGTGGGGAATAGATGGGAGGGCCACGCACAGTCCAGCAGATGACTGAATGAATGAAGGATGCGAACGGGTTGCACACATGAATGACTCAAGGGCGATGTGTTTGAAATGTTCACGGGATCCGATGGTTCAAATCCTTCAAACAGCAAGTTCTTAATGTCCTTCATAACACATAGCTTCTCTGTTATGCGCTTGTTAACTACCTAGAGACTATGCTGGTTGCCTGGCAACCACACAGTGTCTCCGCTGGCTGTAGCTTCATTTCTAGCCTTCAGAAAGGGGAGTGGTATCGATCTCTGTATCTAACTTACAACAAGAAGGTCAGTAAGCGCCTTTCTCAAAATGTCGAAGTGTTCCTTTAAAAGATGAAACCTGCACACACACACACACACACACACACACACACACACACACACTCCTGTAAATGTACGCTTTAATCAAGCAGCAGCAGCTGTAGGATACGGTGCAAGCAGGTCTCTCCTAATGAAGCGCCATTACCTCCATAATGTGTTAAGCTCACGCCTTAATTGTGCATCCTAATGGCGGTGATACCTTCCAGGCCAACGTGGACTGAGTATCAGTGTAATTGAATTAAAATGACCTCTCGGTATCAGTCACAACAAGTGAAGTGACACTGCACACGCGCTGCTCCCTCACCTCGTCTTTGTATTTGATAATGTAGGAGTAGATCTCGTGCAGCGCCGACATGCTGTTGAACTGGCTGAGGTGCAGGCGGGACTGCTCCGCAAGGTAGGCACTCATGTCCTGATCGCTGATGGCTGGCATTCGGGAGATGTCGGAGTAATACCTGGGGGAGAGGTCAGACAGAGATTTATGCACTGCACCGTTCGCATTCCACCCAAAACTCGGCTTACGGGTCGTTATTAAATATTCTGAGTGCAAACGGTGGCAGCTGGCTGCCGGTCTTCTCGCTGGGGGTTGATGCGGTTCACAATTGCATTTTTAACATTTAGCTGATTTTTCCGTATCTCGCTCGTGGACACATTGACGGGACCAATGGACACGGGAGGGACATGATAGCAGGACACAGCGGAGGAAGAGTGGACTGTGTAGCGTTCAGGAGCATATAAAGGTTGAAGTTCTTACTATTAGAGGGAAAGAGGGGGGTATTTTTAGTCTTTTTGCTGAGAGGTGGGTAGATTAAAATTTTAGGGAGAGCAGGGAAGGTCCTTTTACTTTGTTTCACTCCAGATTTATATCGTATTTGAATATTCCCCTGTGAGCTGTGAAGCAACTTGGAGTTCAGTGTCTCGCACAGGGACACTTCGACGTGCGGACAGGAGGAGCCGGGGATTGAACCGCCAACCTCATACATATTGTGCTATCGGACCATCTAGTGTAATTAATAATAGATGTTTAACTATTTGGAATTTAGAGTGGGGCGTTAATAGTCCAATTAATCCCTCCTCCCCATCCCAATCATTTTCATACAGTCCTTTATTATTATTGAGGCCCATCTGGTCAGAGCAACAACAACCGTTGCATTATCGACTCAGTGCTGATGGCTACAACCGAGGAGCAGAAAGTCCATAGAAAGTACAGCAGGAGTACAATAAGAATATATTCCAATATTGAGCTGTACGCAGACCTGTTTGCACAATCCACCATCAACCATCTCCAGGTTTACTGCAGCGGGGCAGGCTGGGGTTGAGCTTGCATTCGGAGGCATAATAGAAACAAGGTTTAACTGCTCCCAATTAACCATCAGCTATAAATTCCTTATCTCATACTGCCTTCGTATACCCAGTGAAAGCCTTAGGACCCGTCGTAGCATGTTCACGTATACGTGTGTCGCTCGAAATAAAGAAATGCAGACAATTATCCTGGTACCGGGATAATTGTCTGCTCCACTGTTGCTGCCGAAGGGAATGGGACCATGCTCAATGGACATGTCATTTATTTGATTTATTTAACCTTTATCTATCCAGGTTAATCCCACTGAGATTCTGAATCTCTTTTACAACAGGTACGATGACCAAGATGGCGACGTAGAAAAGTAAGACGAGCGCCACAGAAACACAGATAAATCAAAACACTAAGACAACAAAACAACGATCGTAAAGAGAGATAGACTTAAAATAAACCAGTAAATTACATTAACCAGAGAATTTTCAAACAATCATCACGGTTAGTTAAACATTCTGGAGCTGATTCAGAGATGAAGGGAGAGTTTTATTCAGTGATGGAGGGCAAGCAGCTGCAACAACTCCGTCTCTCATTTGTGTGTTTTTACATCGCGTGCTCCTTTACATGTGATGTGAATTTAACATTTTTTGTCTTGGACCTGAATTCAAATGGCGACTTTTAAAATGTCACAGACAGAACTGGCATTACGGATATTTTCTACACTCTGTGTGCACTGCATTTCATATTAATGGGCCTGGAGCAAGCTGTAATTAAAGTACATGACTTCTTTTGCGCAAATTTAATAGAAGCGTGTACTCTGAGACCAGGGAAATGCTTCAAGTGCTGGTAGCGGATAAAGTTCAACCTGTTATGTTCTCCTAATCTTACAGCAGTTTTTAGCTTCGTAGGTTAAATGAGTCATTTATCTCACCACTCCACCTCACTTTTCTTTGAAGACAAGTTTACAGATTAGTCAACCTTTCCAGCTTCAACAACTCATGGATTTTTTCCACTTAGCATTAAAAACTGTGGATTTTTTTTCTTTTTGCTAGTTTAAAGGAATTGTTCACCCAGCAAATGAACATCTGTATATCAATTATTCGCCCTGTGTTACCTCAAATTCGTGAGTAATTGGTATACAAATGGTCATTTTGTGGGCGAAGTATTCTTTTAATCTTGCCATTTGAATGTGACTTTGTCTGCGTTCCGCTTTGACTTACCTCTCCACCCAGTTCTTGTAGTTGGGGATGTCTTTAGCGTAGAGAAGCTTATTTGAAGGTGAGTCTTTCCCCAGTTTGTGCTCTGACGTTGAACAGGAGTCCATGAAGGTCTGGGCCACCACGGACAGACAGGCGTCCGTGATGCTGTTCTTGTGGATGTCAAATACAAACTGGGGGTTCTTGATGACGTTCACCCAGAACCGCAGAGGAAGACTGAAGAGGGAACACAGAAAAGACCATTTGGAAAAAAACATTTAACAACACGTAATTAAATGCAAACTGGAAATTTGAAGTGCTTTGCTTCGGCTGCTTATTTTATTATTTTCCATAACGTATGTGCATTAAAGCTTGTTTTTCTTTGGTTTGTATTGTGTTTGTAATAATGTTGCACAGTAGGTGCCGTGGCCCTCAGGCAGCGTAGCAGCTAACTGCTAAAAAAATCGAATTGGTCATAACTTGAAAAAAAGAAAAAGGGTGACCTAAATTCTGTGCAAATACAGCAAAACCTGTTAATGAAATAAACACAAACAAATACTGCAATACCGGTCTGAAGATGTTATTAAATCCTCCAGTAAATTATGAACAAGCATCCGACACAGCAACTATTTTAATTTGTTCTGCAATTTGCAGACCTGGATTTATTGATTTAATATAATACGCAGTGTTGTTCACAAACATATTTACTTTCCAGACATTTGCAGATACGGTGTATAACATTACAGTGCACCCAGGAACACAGTGATTTTGGGGCAGTAACAACAGCTGGAACTGCAGGTCGCATGATGTCCATCTGGCTCACGAAAAAATTGTTGCCAATGACATTACAAAAGAAACAAATGTAAAACTATCATAAACATTCAAAATGTACTCTTTGAATGATCACATTTTTAACCATTATAAAACGTAAAAAAAAATGGAAAATGGTTATCAAAACGTCCAAGGTGATGCCATTAAATTGCTGGTTTTGGCCGACCACAACACCAACACTGAAAAGTAATCATTTAACCGTCACATAAGACAAAGAAAAGCAACAGATTGTCTCATTTAAAAAGCTGGAACCAGGCATTCTTTGAAAAATGACTTAAATGTACTTTGCCTGACTGGGTCAGTCAGACGGCTAAGCTAGGGAGAGACTCTGATGGTCACTAAATGACTCTCTCGCTTACCAGTTGCTCTTCCAGGTGTGCCGTACGTCGTAGTCTGTGATGGAGTGCTTGTCGGCCTGCTCGTCCAGGAAGTCGAACATGTACTTGATGGCGAGCGGCAGGGCGCTGCCTCTGTGGGCCGTGCTGAAGATGGTCTCAAACAGGTCGTCCACAAACTTCTGTAGCGTACCCTGAGTGGAAGGACGAGGACGGAGAGACAACAAGAGGACTTTAAATAAAGTTGAAATCTCTTGCTAGGTGGTCTTAGACATTAAAGTTTAAAACTGTAATATAGAAGCAGGAGCTGGGATTTCATGTCTGACAAGTCGGTAGTTTGTCTCGGATTCCTTTCGACATTTTAATACAGCTTATATCGCCTTATTATGGGAACTCACTCTGACCTTTTGTTTTTAGAGCTTTTACTGTTTTGTTTTATTACTTATATTGATTTTGGTCATTCATGTGTTGAGCAGTTTTGCGCTGGTACTTATGAATGAATCTATCCACCCTCACAAACACCTCCTAGAATCCTATATACCGAGGTTTAAATTCTAACTGTTAATCAGAAGAGAAGACGACCGCCTTATGAAATCTCAGAGAGAATGGCGGAGAACGGAAATAAACATCATTTCACTGTGTCGCGTGACAGAAGGTAGCGTACCATTTCCAGCCACTTGTATCCACATCACCTGAATGGGCCTTAAGTGTGTGCGTTTCCAGTATGAACGGCCCCAGTGGGAATCGCAGCGATAACTCGGGCTCCGTGACCACCTCGCTCTGCCCACTGAGCTCTGCAGAATCACAAACACAGAACCCCGGCTCTCGGATTTGGATGGCGCATTCCTCCAATGACAATGCCTCAACATAATTGCATCAAATGTAGCTAAATGAATTTCCCTAACAACACGATTTGTTTCCCAGATTTCTCCGTCTGGCAGAATCTATTACTGAGGAAACGTTTGGGAATCGTATTTAGTCAGCCATTGCGGAATGGAAGAGGAATGAATTCCTGTCCCGGGCCGCGGATCAAAGTACTGAGATCTGCATAGACGGGACAAGAAAGACAGCTATTGAGAGACAAGGACAAGATGAGTTTCTCAATTGTATTTGCCTCTCTGTTTTGTCATCATGCATGGCCAAATCTTCAATCCCTCGACAAATTACCTGTCTCCTGACACCTCCTGTATCTGCCTCCCTGCACTCTGCACCACAAGCCCACCTTTTATTAATCTGTTTTTTTCTTATTACCAGTGGAAATTGAAAAGCCGGCTCTCTTGGAGCTGCTGCCCATTGCTATATTTCCCTCCCCCTGCTACAATTAGGAGAGAGACAATGAACTGAGAGACACCGAGGGGGGAAAAGGAAGGCGGCTGGATGCTGCAAGGATCCAAGATTGAAGGAATTGTTATGGGTGTGTTGGTCCCTGTGTGTTTCTTTACAAAGGGCCCTTTCTTACATTGGTAACCACTTTGTTTAGGTACATCTTAAACATGATCAAGCTTCATTATCAATCCAGTATATGTTAAAATACAATATACTTTTTCAAGTCATCTCACACACAATGACCAACAAAAGTTACCCCACTGCTGAAACAGCCGACTCTAAAGCCATCTGAAATATACCGATTGATAGGCGGGTCTCGCTTCCACCTCTCCTAATCCTAAAGTTGTACAGTGTGGCAGGTCTTGATCAAGTCTTCCATTGGGGTACCACAAGGATCAGTGCTTGGTCCTCTGCCTTTCTATATACGTATATATATATCGCATCTCTTGGTCGGATTATTCGCTCACGTGTTTTTTTTCCTTATAATTGCTGTACTGCTAATACCCAGCTCTGACTGTCCTTGCTGTCAGACAACCCCACTGTGTTGGCGTCAATCTCAGCCTGGCTCCCTGATGTCTTGTTTTGTCAGTCCAACACTCAAAGATATTCAGTTTGATATGATATAAAACAGAGAAAAGCATGAAAAATGACTCGATAACGATTCATTTAAATTTAATTAAAATTCAATTTATTAAATGTCAATCCAAACTCTCCCTTGGTGATGGAGCGAGTTACTCGACTCAAACCAAGGGTAGTCTTCCAAGTGTACCCACTCACTTAACATGCTGTCTCTCCCTCTGTCCCTCTTTCTATATCTCTCTTTAGAAGAAAAAACTCTCATTTCTGCTACACACTAATGTGTGACGTAATGCACCTGCAACCTTGTAGCACTCGGAACTGAACGTTGTGACACTTGGCTTCTCTTTGATCTACTATGCCTGGGATTGTACCTCATTTGTATATCTACCAACCAAATGCAAATGTAAAATGCATACACCTCTACCTGATAGAGGAATGCCTTGAATTGTGATGACGTGATTTGATATATTTTAAGACTCCTCAATGACCTGCATACTCTCCGTACTAGTAGTTTCCTCTATGAAATAGGTGAGGTGGATCCCTTTGCTTTAAAGAGCTGATAATGCTGAAAATATCCCATCAGTCTGAGTTTCAGTGGTAGGTTTTACGGTTCCCCAGTGGTTGTAAGTGCAGTTTGAGAGTATTTTTTCTTTCACCCCGACTTGACATAAACTTTTTGAACACTGGTGTGTCACTCCTCTGTCTTACTTTTGTAGCGAGCAGCCGTGTCAGGTAGATCTCAGAGACCATCTTGCTGCCTCGGTCGCCCTCCCTCTGGTCCGAATGGTCGTGGTTCTTCACAAGATGCCACAATTTAGTTCCACTCTCCAGGTCAGGGGTTATCATGGGGGTTCGTGATCGTAGGCTGTCTGGACTACTGGCCGTCCTCAGCATACTCTCTACAGCCAGAAACACAAAACAGAGTTGTTTGGGACTACGTCAGCTCCTTTCAGAAACCTTGTGATTCAGTGATTTAAAGAAAAGGCAAATTTCCCCTTTTTAGAGAAAATATTGCAACCTATTCGTCTTCTCCTTCTGACAAATCGGTTACATTTGCATTTTGTAACTTTTGTAAATCATTTTAATCTTTCTAAATCTAAAAACACACATGTAACACATGCAATTATATAATTTTTTTGAAATAGAAGATGTCTGGGTTTTTAGCATTGCATTAGCAAATACATGAAATGTGGCCACATGGCATGTTGCTAATAGCATGAAAACCTGCAACAACATAATAATAATACAAAAGAGAATCATTTCTGAATGATTCTGACCATTACATTCTATGGTAACTTGTAGTGTTATAGAGTGGGGACAGGCTGAATTTCCTATTTTTTCAGTGATCTAGGTAGTTTTTAGGTAGACAATGTGCTGGACACTTTGCTTGATAATATTATAAAGATACTTTTCATGCATATTCATGCATATAATGTCCTGGGGAGGGAAAAGGCACCAATTCAGTGGAATGGCCAATGAAGTAGAACTATAAACATGTAGATTCTCATTACCTGAGTTAACAAATATATAATCACCCAACACTCTGCGTATTTCTTGAATTTTTCTCTCTCGTTTACAGACTGTGACTCACACGACCACTCCCCTTTTCTCCATCATCGGTGGCTGTTTCATTATTCACGACGCGAGTGTCAAAGTTGATTAGAGCGAAGCAAGGAGATGCATATCTACGACTGTTCCATTTAGGATGGAGAGGAGAAAAGCAACCAGGGAGGCGGGGGGAGAGGACTGGCTGTTGCTCCTGGGGAAGAGGGCACACGGGATGGATAGAAGAGGTGGAGAGATAAAAGAGAGAGTTGCTGATGCATGTTGCAATCCCTTTATGTCCGGTGAAAGGAGAAAGGAGATGACAGGAAAAGCGGGTGGGTGGAGTAAATGGACAGAGACACAAATAAGGTGTGGAGAGAGAGAGAGGGTGAAATGGAGAGTAATGGGAGATAGAAGAATAAAAGAGGCTGAGTGTCCAGTGCTGTTGTTGCTCTTGCCGGCGGGGTGCTGAGTGGCTTTGATTCCAAACCCATCACGGCCAGTGGTGGACAACATTCACCCCGCGCTCATAAACACACCCTCCTGCACACATGCAAAAAAACTCCCACGAAAGTAAACACTTCTTTTTTTTCCATTTATTTGCTTTGAAGCAAAATAGCAGTAGATGTGTACTTTTGCAGGTTGAGATGATTCATGAAAAGCAAACCTTTGATTTTCATAAATTTCATTTTCTCCAATGACATTTCTCTCCACTAATCCGGCACTCAAACAGTGTAGGTGTTGTGTGATTGCTTTTCCTCAGATGTTTCCACTGTTGTTCAAGTCGAGGCGCCTCCACATAGATGGAGCTCAGCTTCGTGCCACAGAATCTGAGGTATTTGTTTTTAGGCCTGACATATTTCTATGCTGACACCGAATCACATGCCAACTTGTGGTCGCTCGTAGCGATGAACCCACAGAGAATTATCACTTGACTCCGCACTTTTCCTGAATTGCTTCCACTGCTCACAGCTCTCATCAAAGCTGATTTAGGCAGCAGCTGTTTGCAGCGAAAAAGCTCTTATAACCCGTTGTATGTTACCTGCACAGCACCAAACAGCAGACAGGCAAACACAACGACTAGCTGGTGAAAGTGGTGGAACATTAAGCATCTGAAGTGACAGATTTGTTTTCTCAGGAATTGGCGGAGAGCCAAACATAGCTAAAAATATAGAATATGTATTATACAACTCCAAATAAACATAATGTTGCTCCATATCTGGAGCCGAACTGTTTGCTACTGTAACATATTATCCTTATGATGATTTTGCCAGTGTTGTGTTTACGGCTTCTTTCCGCTGCCCCCAAGCATGACTGGCGTTATTGCAGGTTTAAATAATTGATATATTGGGGGTACTGGTCAAAATAGCCACATTCAAACATATCATTGTTCTGACCTCCTTGGTGAGTCAAATAGACTTTCAAATTGAAATCTCCGATCGGTCTGCTGACAATTTAGCTTCTAGGGGGATGGGCCAAGGTTTCTGTTTTTTTTTCTGTAGCCAGCTGCTATCAGGGCCAAGACTTCCCCTTCCTTGTGCCGGTCATTGTTTACAGTCTGGTCAGTACCTTGAGGGGCAGGAATGGACTTTTTGTAGGTGTTTTAGGTCCAGAAAACATTTGGGCTAATCTCTAAAAAAGCAGAGGTCTCACTCTCCTGCTATTTTGAGGTCCCACGGTTGTCATCAGAATCTGCGCTCAATAGCAAACAGCCCTGATAGAGCCATGTGTACTTCGAGGGAGCCCGGCAGCCTAGTGGTTAATGTGCGTCATGCATAACCGCAACATGATTTCAAATGAATTGTATACCGTCAAGCACCTTTAGTTGCATGTCATATCCTCCTCTCTCTACCCGTACGTATCTACAGTGTTGAATAGAGGCAGAAATGCTTCCCCAGAAAGCGTCTACTACACATGCAAAAAAGAAGATTAACATTCGAACCTAAAGGTTTAATGGGTACTTTTAGAGAGAATCCAGGTTGGTTGTGAGTCTAGATCAGTAGCGATGATAACAGCTGTGCATGCCTATGGGGCACTGCCTGTTTTGTATCAGACAAGCCTCCATTCTTTTTTTTTTTTTTACTACAGAGTAATTTATCTTCTAAATTGTTTAATTTTCCAGTGAAGTACACCATATTGATGCCAGGCATCTGTCTGTCGCTGGCTGCCAGGTGCGCTCTGTCTCTCTCTCTCTCTTTCACTCAGCTGGGAATCGAGGTGTCTACTTTAATGCCTGTCATTTACGGGCTGCTTGGAAACAGCCGTGGAATAGCCTTGGCCTGGGCTGATAGCGATGGATAAAAAGGATTGCCATTCACAAAGAATGGAGCTCAATCATGGCCGCGATCAACAAAGACAAAGGCAGGCGGAGGGATGGGAGTCATTGACGGGATGATTTAAATAGGGTGAAGTCAAGAGGAGAATGGGAGTCCTACCGTATCTACTGAGGCTCTTGGTGAAGGTGGAGGAGTTGGAGATGTTATAGGCAGAGTTCTGCTTCGGCACCAGGGCGATCACGGAGCCGTCTGTCACCTGCACGCCAAAACAAACAAACAAACAAAATATTCACTGCATGAATCCAACCGCGCCGTCGACTCTCGCTCGTTCCCATTTTATGCGCGCGTCACCTGCTCGCGTACCTGATAGTGAGCCAGCGTGTTGAGTCGTTTCCAGTCATTGTCGATCTTAGTTGTGACGTCTTCATCCTGCAGAATGATTCTGGCCATGCGACCTTGACGCCATTCTTCAGGGAAGAGTGAGCAGACGTTCAGAGCAAAGAACACAACGTGTGTGTGTGTTTCATTTGGCCTTGCAGTGTGGTCAGATTCAGCTGCTTCTAAATGCTAATCATCTTTTTTAATTTTTTATGAACTGTGTTCCTCAATTTACTCCAAGTTAATTATATGTTTTAAATTAATCATAGATCAAATGACTACCTATAATGTGAAAAGGTTCACAAATTGACACCAAACTCAGCTCTACGCAGCGTTTGAACATCTTTTAGTTCATTGTATAGTTTCATTGGATGTACATCCACCAGTTGGTACGAAGTCATATATTGCATCATGTAAATGAGCAAAGGGTGATAGTATGTCAGTGTTATGGTTACAGGTTGCTGTGCTGCCTCCAAGCAGCCCCCCCAAAAAAATATGAACACAAGTTTATTGATACTATTAAGTGATTCTGGTCCCAGTCTATCATGTTTATTGCAGCTTCAGTTGTTTGTCCTTTTCCAAATGAATCAAGTTCTCGAAATCAAAACAAACTAACCAAAAACAATTGCCCTGCCACTTCAATAGGCAATGCCCCTCTGTCAAAACACACACAGACAGAAATCAACTCTTGGCGGTGTGAAGAGTTTTGAGTTGTTATTTGACATTCAACGTCGAATTCATAAAGAATGTAATGCAGCCCATGAATTACACTATCTGGCCCGTCGCAAGGTCCAATGCACAAAAGATGTTGTGCTAATGATATTACAGCAAAAACACCTTCAATATGTACAATTTTCCCTCGTTTTTTTCACATGTATTTTCAAATTGATATGTAGGGGAGCTTTATTCATTTCATTTGCATCACACGACTGTTGTTGCCTCCTGTAAGCGCATCCCATAATGAACGAGTTTGAGTGGAGCATGACGAAGCCTTCGCCTGGCTAAGATCCCTGCTGGCATGATCACTGGGAGGTTTGGGTGTCACACCACCGCCAAATGTCTGCATATTACCTAAATTAAACGCGTGCCAATAGCACAGGAGCACCGAGACACAATTTGCTTGGCAGCGCAGTCAGGGGTGCCCTTTAACCCTTTGAGGGAGCTTTGAGAATTACACGGTTTCTTTGTGTCTTATTCGTGGAGGTTTAGCGGTCGAGAAAGCCGCCTTTTGTGAATTTGCCCCTAAGAGTCGTCGTAGTGTCCAGTGTTGAACTGAGTATTTAAGAGAAATCTACAGCATGTAGCAGGTCATATAAATACCCCTCCTTGGACCGCCATTGTGTCCAGTCATTACACCTGCGCACATGTCTCTTATGGTTCTATGAATACGCAACATGCAGTGTTGTGTGCCTTACCCAGGTCCATGTCGGAGGCCTTGGGCCGTTGTGAATAGGGGCTGCCCTTATACACAGCATCGAGCAGCTTCTCTTTGACCTGAGTGATGGTGTCACAGTTCAGACACTTGACCGTCACCTCTTGGGCGTTCTCATTCTCTGGGTTCACGCAGTGCAACGTCTGGTGGAAAAGAAAAGAAAAAAAGGTGGAAACAAAGGAAAATGGAGACAGATCATTCTACGCTTAAGAGAGAAGACCTAGTGAGATGTTTGGATGATTGTTACGGTGCATTTGAATGTACATGACATGCGTTTTCAAATCTGGTTTGTTTGCATCGGATATTTAAAAAAAAAACTGGACATTTTCTAGTCCGCTCAGTTTGTTTGGGGACACAATAACACAGCATTCGCATGTGGGTGCAGATCCAAAACCCACTGAAGCAGATCCTGCTGACAAGTAGGTCCGTCTCTCCAATCCAAACCTGGAGTGCTTTGTTTGGAGAGAAGGCGTGATTAACGCTGGGCAGCAGTTGGGCGGGTTCACGGCCAGATCGCGCTCTCTCCCTCCAAAACACAGCTGATGCTGCGGAGCCGTGTTTACACTGGGAGGAAGCCTTCCCCTACAGCAGACCAATTAAGCCGGCGGTGGCCGCCACATTGCAGCCGCTGACCAGTTAGAGCTTGCTTTAGAAATTGTCATCGTCAAACGTGACTGAGGCTCTGCAAACCCGTCAAGTGATTTCAGACCGAAGCCGACAGGCCTGGAGACACGACGGGTCTACTGACCAGTGTTTTGTAGTCAATCTGTTGCCTGATGAGCTTGTCCTCGCTGAGGGAGTAGCGGGCTTCTCCCGTGATGGCGTCTATGGGCCCCTTCTCCATCTGCTGCTTGATGGCACAGTAGAGCATGAACAGAGGCTCCCCGGCACATTCCTGGTGAGGGAGCAGACAGAGAGAGATGTTAGAGTCGCCAGCAATTCGAACAAAGAGTGATTCTCTTTACTCAGATTCTTTTCGTTTGAATCATTGTTTGAAGGCCTGAGGTCCAGAAACTTCACTGCAAAAAGCAACGACCTGGGGGAAAACAAATATTTACCCCCCCTCTCTCTCTCTTATTTCCCATCCCATGAATCATCACACATACTCTAAGAGGGGTTAAAATACAGTGTGTCTACCCACTTCATAACACAGTGATTCAACTCAGAGCCAGTTGATGAAAGCATTTATATCTGCTATTCTGACAGGCTGTCGCAAATTAGTGACAGGGGCGCAAGATCTTTCAATTTAGTGTGGAAGTTACTGAGACTACGGATGTAAATACTAGAAGCCCTGTCGAGGCTCATCTGATTTGCAAAGACTGTGTGGTTGAAAAGGGACTAATAACGGGCTGTTTTGACGTCTGTTGAAGTCACAGAGAGACGGAGAGGAAATGTGTTTTCTGCCGCCGAACTTGGAGAGTTGTTTTTGAAAAGAAAAAGTTTCGCATTTATCCAACAAGAGGGATGATTTCTGCGTCTCTGCTCTTTAAACCCTCTCCACTGTATCATGTAAGAATCCTTAATGTTATAATGAGTCTATATTACCCACAACTTTAACCACCATTTATTCTGTATTCATATAGTCAGTCAAGTTATTTTATAACTATCTTTATTGATTTACGTTTTTTTCTCTTCTTTCCCTTATGTCTTCCTTTTTTAAATATGTTGTAAACTAACTTTAATGTCATTTAAATACTGTCATCGTTTCTTGTTTTTGAGGGAAGCAGGTTTCTACTGTATTCCACTCAAAAGGGAGACTAATGAGTAAAATGAATCGGTGAAAAGATCGGTTGGATTATCGAAGTCCTTTGAAACGTACATCTTAAACTACTACATACATACAGCCAAAAAGACTTTTCTCACAGCGATGGGAATTTTAGTACAAACATCGGGCGAATCCACCTTAAGAGGCCTCTCTCTGTCCGTCTTAAAGCAGCGTTATGTAAATGCCTTCAGCTCTCTCCCGTCCTCGACACAGATGTTATAAATATGTTTCCCCACTCTCCGCTCCATCAAAGACACTTGCCAATCAATAGTGTCAGTGGTCGTCACTTGGGCCCAAGGAAAACACTCCCGACTGAAGTAGCGGCAGTTTAGAGGGGAGAGAGAGGACACATCGGGGCCAATACTCATCCTGACGAGAGCTTAATGATCGACTGTGCAGTGCTCAGGGAGATACTTCAGACTCTGTGTGTGTGTGTCGGAGATGCATGAGGTCCAGATGAGAACAGGGGAAAGTACTAATTCATCTGTCTCACCTTCAAGCACACTCTACAAATCGCTTTTTCTTTCTAACACACACACATTCTTTTTCCCCCTCTTCCTCTCTGTAATGCACCAACCCTCAGCGCTTACTGCTATTTCAGCTTCCTCCGCTGTTTTCTTTCTTTCATCTTTCTCTTTTACATTCACACATGCAATGTGTGCTGTATATGTAAGACAGTGCTCACCATCACAATATCTAATGATCTTTAATCAAGGTGTGGCCTGTGATTTGGAATAAATATGATGCCAGATGATTGTTGCTGTCGGCATTTTCTTTTCCTTCTACTTCTTCTTATGTAGCTTTAAAATACATTTTCCCAGTTGCAATCTTGTGTGCCTGTGTTGATTGTTTATTTATCTCTAGTTTGATGACAAATATATGTAAAAGAAATCTGTATTGAAGTGTCATCTCGCTGCTGTAAGAGGGTTTCAGATGTTTGATGACCACCAAAAAACACATCAGTCAATGTGTGTTGACTGATGGGGAAGGAAAGCAGAAACCCGAGACTCAAGGATTGTTTTTTTTTATAACATCCTGAAGTCCCTAACATGATTGCAATTAAACAATCAGAGTAGGGGGGGAAATGATCAGTGACATTTATAAACGTTATTTTGAATCACGTTAATTGAGGAATGCTGTCATAACTCGCTAGTATTTGTCTTTTTTTCCTATCTATCCACTTTGTTTCCCCCCCCCCCCCCCCCCCCCCTCCATCTCTTCCACTTATATCACCATGAGCAGCACTGAGCAACAACAAGTCCAGCTACTTACAAACTAATCTTCCCAATGTTCTGGACATGATGACAAAAAAACAACATCCACAACACCAAAGCTAAACTGATGCCGGGGTTGTATTATTTAAAAGACTTTCTCTACTTTCGATCACACATTTGAATCTATCGTTCTTTATTCAGTTCACCTCGTCATTATTTCCTCCTCCCTCTTTACTTCCTTCTTTCTCTCTCTTTTTCCCACTAATCTCCTACTTCCTTCTTCCTCACCCTTTTCTTGCCTCATCTCCCCTTTCTCTCTTCCCCTCCTCTTAATTGTCATGCCCATCTCTGTTCTTCTTCTCTCTCCCCCATCACCTCTGACACCTTTAACCCCCTCCCCTTCCCCTCCCCTTTTGCCTTGCCTTCCTCATCCCACCGCCTAACGAGAACCTCGTTAGCATCTGGGCCAATTAGGTGGGCAGCTGCTAACGAGACGGCGCGAGCATACATCACGGCTGCTGTGCTTTCGCCTTCCGTGCTCGCGCCTGTCTTTGGAATTTGCCTTTGTGCCGTATAGTGGCTTCATTAAGGCTCCCTAATTGTGTGCTGACATTTACACTTCAGGGACATAATGCTGTGTCCTGCTGTTGTGAAAGAGGAATGGGCTCAGATTCCTGCATCGCTAACAATCAATGGAAAACTGCACAGGGATGTTGTGTATTTATTATTTTGTAATTCAAGAAATGTGAGACATAGAAAATGTGATGTTTGAAGTAACAGTTTGGATGCTTTTTGAGTACAAAATACATGCGTGCACTATAATCATGCTATGCACACAATATGCACTCATGATGCAATTAGGTTTGTACTTCACAATTTGCAATCAGAAGCAAACCACCAAAAAGAGAGAGAGAGAGAAAACACCATATCTCCCTTTAAGCAGGCTCTGTAAAAGCGAGACAGGAGGAGGACAACGAGGGCGAGGGAAAGGAGCGGGGGCGTGTGAGGACAGCGTGAGCGGCATCGCACCCCCCTGCTGAGGCCAATGACCTTAAGGCAGAAAAGGAGTCTGACGGCGGGATAATGACAACAGAAACCACGCAGATGAAAGAGAGATCAGAGGGAGAAGATGTGAGCTAAAAGAACGACATAGAGATCAGTGAGGAGGGACTGGTCGGCTACAAGACCGAAATTATGAGAGCGGAGAGGATCTGTGGACTTAAAAAAACATTAAAACAGCAGAGAAGAGAAGAGACGCATACTGCTGGGGAGCTTTGATGAGCTACTGTTTGTATACTGCACTGGTAGGGCAGGAATATATACGGCTGAAGAAGAAAAAGCCTTTTAATAACTGCAACGGGGAGAGAAAAAACAAGGTTATAATAAAACCCTCTAACACACAGACATTAAAAACATTACACGATATAAATCCGCTTAAGATAATGAGTTTTAATCCGCGTTTAAAAGAAGCAGATTTAATAAGGATGTTATGGGATCATGCCTTGTTGGGCTTACCTTGAGGAACTTATACAAGAGGAACGTAAACCAGTTGGTCAGCATCTTCTCTGCGACAGACTCCGTTCTGACACACAGGGGGGAAAAACACGACATTAAGAAGAGAAAGCATGAAGGAAATTGCAGAGCGACATAATTATGAAAACAAACAAGCATCGAGAGGCCATAAGGAAAGTGTTTGGGAAATATCCACATGGTTTTGTACTGATTACAGGGGAAATCTATTTAAAGCCTGCTGTGTTGAGTTGAGAAGCAGTTGTTGGTTTCCAGAAGAATTTCCTTAAAGTGGCAATGTGTAAGATCCAGCCATGATTTATAAAAAGAAGAACAATATTAACAGAATGTGAAGAGGTTGCAGTGTTGACATTATGTCAAAGAGTCTATGTATTGAATTGCAGAGATATGTACTGAAATGAGCACGCTAACTGACTAGCCACGACCCGTCCTGTCTTGTTGTACCACTTGTTCCTCAAAAGGGGACAGTGAGTCACTGTAACGTCCGGTCTGCCTTCAGTCAAACATGAGAGGACGAAGAAGTTCAGCTGCCCTGAGGGCTGGCCAATCACATTGAAGGCACAGGGTCGGTGTACGTTTTGATAGTTTGTTGATTGGATTAAATTCAGAGTGGCTACAGCTCCTCTAACTCCTGGTAAAGTGGTCTTCTGATACGATACGATATCTCGTTGCTGTTATCCAATAAGCAAACTATCAAAACGTACACAGGGCGTACATATTTCTAGTCACCTTAAATAATTGCGAGGGCCCTCAGATTTATCTTCCCAAGTCCAGATTTGATATTCATTCATGATGAATTTATTATTGAACATTTATGTGAACTTGCTGTGCACTTTAGATGTGCGAACAGTCATTGTGGTTCACACTGTTTTCATTATTATCTGAGGAAACGACTATAACTTAAGGGACAGTTTACGCCAAAATCAAAAAGACATGTTATCAATCTAGATCTGTTTTGGTGTGAGAAGCCTGGTTTTGGAGGTCGGCCAGAGAAGATATCTGCCTTCTCTCCAATATGATGTTACTATATGGCACTGCTGCTGTAGTTTGCACTGTTAGCGCTCTCAGCTGTCACATGTTATCAACTTATTAAAGACACGTGGTCTTCAAACCACAAGGGTTCCAGAGCAAAAGAGTTTTCACCCTCGAACAATGCATGCTGGGAAATGTGCTGTCATGCTGATCCTCTGTCCTTGGAAACTTAATTTGATGAGTTCAGAAAACACGTCAGTTTCAAGTCAAAAGATTTCAAGACAGAACAACTGACGTTTATAAGTTCTGAAACGGGTCTTAAGATAAATGAACTTGAGTTCAACAAAACTTAGACTCAAATATGTGTTTACGGTACATTAGGTTCATCAAATATGAGTTGGTGCCACTAAATCCCTGTATGGTGTTTATCAGTGTAGTCTATATTCGTCCCATGTCTCTCCACATCGTCCTCACCTCCTGAGCAGCAGCTTGGGATGGTTTTTGCTCTCCAGGTTTCTGTCTATCAGGTCGGACAGCAGCTGTTTCAGGACTCCGGTGGCGTACTCCATCTCCCCCTGCAGGGCTGTCATGATGAGAGACGCCACATTGCCTCGGTCCCGCATTGAAAATGACCTGGAAATACACAGAAACGCAATAATAAAATTCAATATTTCACAAATGTTTTCCCCGGATTTTGTGCCATCAATTCTGAAGCTGTGCCTCAAAAAACACGTGTGACATTATAGCAGTTCATTTAAATATTAGTGCACATTTAATCTAAATCAAAAGGTTTCTAGCTCTGTTTTGCCAAAGACCATTTGGCTAAGTGCTTTAGGGTAATTTCAGCTGCTAAAATGTTTTTACTCTGTTTATCAATTATTCTTCCCTGTCCTAATCAAAGGGACAGACAGCACAGCCTTCCATGTCAAATTAGTCAAATTTAACAGGTGATAAATATTCCTTTTCCCCCATTATGACAGTTTTTGTCTGAAATCTATTACTCAGTCTTTGAAAATGTACTACAATGCTTATTTCTAAGGAGAAAACAAACATTGAAATCACGCATAAAGCACACAGTATTTACATGATCTTACTCCCATGGTTGGAAATATCATCTGGGTAAAAGCTCTGAAATGATATTGCAAGCTTGAATTTAGCCTTAAGTTATTTTTCAAAAGCTTTTAAAGCTATTAAATAGTAGAAATCCCTTTTGGATTTTTTTTTTTTTTTACTAAAAACAAACAATGTAGCCTGTATCTGAACAATAAATAAAGACATGAAGGAATGCAGACACCTCTGTGCCTCCAGGGTTCGTATGAACGTCAACAGGAAGTGCTTCTTCGTCAGCAGCTGTCCAAACAGCGTCAGAGCCTTCTCCACATTGGCCTGGACCTGAAGAAAGACACAGAGACAGATAAGTCACATCAGAGGCTAAGAGCAATGGAGAGCTCTATTTCTGTTCTTAATTAATGAGTATGTTTTCTTTGTGTTGTGGAAAAGAAATATTTTGCATTTTACAGTTTTCCCAAATCACAATAGTTTGGAAGCCAATCACAGTCCAGTATGCAACATGCTTAAGTGTGATGTGGAAACTTGAAGCCTCCTAAAACAAAAGCCCAAGTGTACAAATGTACACTATATTAAGACCATTTTCACCGGTTAACCTTGCCCTCAGACTGCTCTTTGTGACGGGTGACTGAAACCCTTCTTTAAATCAACCAGACTCCTTGGTGGAAATATTCTAAATATTGATTATTTTAGGCGGGTCTTTCCTTTTAGGTGGCTAAAAAAACATTTTGCTACTGCATCTCTGAGGAACGTGTGTGAGCATAATCGATTGCAATTAATAGCATACAGGATATAAACTATAAAATAAAACTATGATTCATTCTGAGCGAAGAGAGATTGTGAACCCGTCCGCGAGCAGACTTTTGTTATTTTTCCCCGTGTGATGGGCTGAGATTGCCTTGTAAACAGCCAGGTAGGACTGATTGGCGACTCTCTCTCTCTGTGTGCCGCGTTCTAAGTGTTTCCCAGCCGTCGCTCTCCAAACAATTTTTCGCAGGCATTTGACATAATTGTCATCTCGACATCAGGGGGTGGATGGGTCAAAGCATCCTCCAGTTGAAAGTCAATGAGACAAGAACTTTATTCGTAATAAGCAGTCTGAGCTCCCCGTGTGCTCATACATTGTCTTTGTTCTGACTCGAGGATTTTATCTTTGAGCTGTTTGTTATCAGACTAATGTATGTATGTCCTATATTGATCGCTCAGTTCTTAACCTCTCTTTAGAAAGTTCCGACATTTCCTGTCACTTTCACCATTTTGCTGAATCGGTCATGTTACGTGAAAGCCCCTCAAACTGAATCTTTTAATAACGCTTTCCGGCTGGTCCGGACCGACCCGGCGTGAGAGAGATTCCTGTGTCAAACAGAGGAGGGAGGAAGAGATGGAAGGGTTTGTGTGTGTGTGTGTCAGGCTTGGTGACAGAGGTGCACCCTG